ACTTCAATCTTCGGAAGAGTCAAATTTTTCCCATTACTGTATTTAACTTGAAAGGGGTTTTCGTGGCCTTCGGATTTCCGCACCCTCTCGTCAGCAGAATCTTTTAGTTTTAAATTATTTCCTTTCCGTGCTTCCTTCTTTTTCCACTGCCTGAGACTTTCGGGTTCTACTGAACTGTCACGTTCGCTCTCTGTTTTTGAATGCGGTTTCCTTGCCCACTGATTCGCTTTGACAAACCGTAGCCGTGTGTTGAGTTTGCTGTAGTCTGGCGTACCAAATTGGTTCGTTGATATTGCGTCTTCTTCGACTCCGCCGTTCTTCTACTTTCAAACTGGATTGCTAGCTCAATAACTTTTCCAGTGTAGTCGGATTTTCTTAATTCAATAAAGTCTTGCACTTGGGGCATTAAGCTCGCAAAATCACTTGAATTATTTCAGATCCGGACGGTTTCCAGACAGAGCTTGAAACGTGAATTTTTCTTAAAAATAAAGCTCGAGGAGGTTTTCGATTCTTTGTTTATAATCTGAAAGTTCCCGTTTAATTTCGCACGATCCCTTACAACAGGGAAGGCTTTAGTAGGGCAGTCTTGAAATTTCGTAAGTATGGTGGGACTTCCTGCTTGACCCAAGAACTTCTGCTATACATTTGAAACCAGTTAAGCGCTTGGCCCCTCAAGCGCTGGTAGCTAAGGTAACTTTTTGAAACTCGTGCACGGGGTAGAGAGGAGTGGTCATCCAATTTTTCCAAAAAAATGGTTACCGGGTGAGTTTCCATTAATTTTTTTCTGTTTCATCGAAGGCGCATGGTCTTGGACGATGTAACCAATCCTTCCAGGGCGGCAGCTGGCCTTTTGGATTCTGAGCGTTTTGCAGCAGCACAGGTTCTTCTTAAACTCGGCCATGGTTATCTTCTTTCGTTTGGGCGCCACTATCAGGGTCAAAGTTCCTTCTTACCTTTCTTCGGAACATACAAGGACCTGACTGGAACAGAAGCTTACTAAAGTATGTTCACTAATTGTTGGGAAAGTAGAAGGATACACATGAAGGGTCTACAAAACCTTTATTTTCTCTATATATAAAACTTCCGTACTTCGGAATACACTGACCCGCTACTTGGGGTCTAACGTAAAAGTATAAATAAAATAACTCTATTTACTTTAAACTAATAAACGTGAATTGGCCTTATATTACAGAAGGCGATTATTACAGATAACTGAGAACACTACATACGTTTAAATTTATCAAGAGGATTAAACCTCTGGCCGGGAAGACCACACAACGCGTAACTTCTAAGGTAAGCGGCCTGCTTTGACTCAACTGCTTCCTCTCTCCTCTCTTGGCAAAAGCCACAACTTAATCTGGCGTTCGCCAGACAACTTTGCATAAAACTTTAACGCTTATATTCTGGCCGGAAGTAGAAAATAAGAAGTGATAGTAAAGATTTAAAATAAAATAAACGTTAGTAAAACTTAAGATCCTTACAACTGTAACAGCCGAGTGGGTCCATGTCGCGCCTATTATTTGTTTTTCGACTTTTATAACTAATATAAGATTGTTGATTGGAATGAAACATCCCGATTGAAAAGGAAGTTTCCATTGATATGACAGCATATGACTGATCTGTTTTTTAAATAATCTTATTTGGACACCCCATTATTTCCTTTTACGGTCAATTAAATTATATACAGTTTTTGCTGCTTTTCATTTAAACTTATTTCATCAATTATTCTAACTTAATTAACCGATCTCTCGAGGCAAGTTGAAAACGACATTAAAAACTGCAAATTTTAAAATTAAGTACCTTAATCAATTTTTTTTTCGTACGGAGTCAAACATCTTGTATTTTTATTTTGTCATAAAGTGTATAGAACTTTCCAAAATATAAGTATCGAAACAGGGAGACCTCATTAAAAGCTACACTTCGTTATTTATCGACAATTACTATTATATTTTTATTTGACATCGCTAAAACGTGAATGCTTTCGTCATTTAAAATACTTCTGTAAGTGGAAGTATACGACTATGCTCAATTATTGCAAAAATAAAGACCGAGTAAGGACTTTTAAGCTGGGTAAGGGGGATGGGGTGTATATATACATATAACTACTTTAGGCATTGCCTACTACAATAAAAAAATGGAGGAGCACAACTACATGTTATAGCAGTCCGTATACAAAATTTCTACGTTGTACTGCTAGCTAATCGCTTTTTAGTCATGTCAGACACACATGTACATACTTAGATACAGAAGTTACGAAAAAAACATTTTGAATTCATTTTACAACCCGTTTTAGAATAAAGAGTTCTTTATCCTGTGTATACATAGAGACATGACGAAAAAAATGCATATGACTGATCCTCTTTTTAAAACAATCTGATGTGGACACAACATGACGTCCTTGTACGGTCTAGTAAATTATATACATTTTTCCTGCACTTCATTTAAATTTATTTCTTCGAATTATTTTAACTTAATTAACTGATCCCTCGAGGCAAGTTGAAAATGACCTTAAAAATTACCAATTGTTGGAAATTAAGTATCCTGGTCAACATTTGTCGTACGCGAGTCAAACTTCTTATAATTTGTTCAAAGAGAGTTAGTCCAGAAGGGCTATTAATTTCGTTTTGGCTGCGTCGAAAACTTTAAATGTCCGTTGCACTTTTCAAATTACTGCTACTGAATATTACTGTATTACATTTAAAGAAATTGAATAATGAAGAATCTACATAAATGTATGTATGTTTCTCGCGTTGTGATAAAACGACGGTACCTAGAGCCATCAAATTCTAAACAACGTAGTCCTCCACTCGAATATGGGCATCTGGAAGCCCTAATTTGAAATTTTTTCATTATCGTTTATATTTGTACACTAGAGACATTCGTATTTTTTAGAAGCAGGCAAGATGAAAAATAACCAACGCCTCGCGGTAATCGAACCACGGACCTCTGGATACCGCCCAGCGGCAGAAAGCACTACACCACGAAGGCACGCTAGGAAGCGGGAGAATACCTACAACACTAACGAATTTTTGATTAACAGGATTTCAAAGCGAGCATGGCAACACTGTATGCCCCCCCTCCCCAAAAAAATTATCTTCAGCGCTTAATCGTCTTGAAATTCAAAGATTGCTCATGGCAAATAATCTGCGATATGCTGTTGAACGATTTTTACGGTTTAAATGCGAAGACATGATATTTAATAAATAAAGAGAGCAGACAGAACATCAAAAAAGGCCCTTTTTGGTAATATAATTTCGGAAGCTTTCAGTTTTTTTTTTTCTATTATTAGACCAAAGGGCAAGTGCCCTGAAACTATTAATTCGTTTTGGGCATTTTGGCGTTTGAAAACTATAACGGCGATCAATTTTCAAATTGTGCCACTAAATATTATCGCCCTGTATTATATTAAAGAAATTAATAATAAAGAATCTCATGAGTGTATGAATGTTTCTCGCATTGTGATAAAACAACGGTACCTAGAGCTACAAAATTTGAATAACCATAATCTAGCACAGAATATGGGCGTGGAGCCCTACTTGAATTGAAATTTGTTTTATTATCGATTTCTATTTGAACACTTCGTGAATTTTTGATTAAAAAACTAACGGTTTCAAAGCGATCAATGGTAACTGTAAAAAAAAAAAAAATTAATAATAATAATAATAATAAAAAAAAAAAAAAAAAAAAAATTCCCAGCTCGCGAGACTCTGCATCGGAAATCCTAAAGATATGCTCATTTTAAAAATTTTGGTGATATGGCTGTTGAACTGAGTTTTATGGTTTGAGTATGCAGAACATGATATTTAATAAATAAAGGAGAAAAATGGTACAAAAACGTTAAAAAAATGCCCCTTTGGGCGTAATTTAAAATCTGAAACTTTTCAGATTTTATTTATTTATTTATTTATTTATTATTACACTTGTTAATTTGTTTTTGAAGGCGTTCTGGCACTTTTATAAATTAAGCCCTGCAGTTTTCCATATTTAAAGTTTTGTTAAAAAAATTTAATTGTACTGTTTAGAGTGGAGCTATGACGATTAAACTTACTTTTTTTTCGAGTGAACCAACCAACTAAATATATAGAAAACCATTTTATAAAAGAGACTAGCAAAAGCCAGCAATATTATCAGTGATCAATTTTTTTTGGAAGACGCACAATAGCTTCGTTCATCCTGCTTAGTGTTCCATTTATCCGATTATATTACTAATAAACACGTAAGCAAAAATAACCGAATGGCTATCCCCTCTGCCGCCAAATCCTATCAACTCCCATCCTGAAGTGGTGCAGTCCGCGGCGTCTCTATCGATCGCTACAGGGGGCACTTCTGTGAGCAACGCAGCTCAGTCAGCCGCTGCGGACACGGGGCCGATTCTACGGAACGCAGATAATGGTCCCCCAAAATCCCTCCCGGCATGCTTACTACCGGAATGCTCCTTTAGAAATATTCTCTCACGAATATCAACTAATTCCACTTTGTGGAAAGTCTGCGCAATGACAGAATGCATCAGAATGCGTTTTTGTTTCACCATCATTGAGAAACGTTTGATGATGAACGACCATAACAGATGAAACAGCGTGTTAGTTATGAAAGGCTTAAGGACAGTAGCTCTGTTTCATAGATGAGTCGGACATGCGCAGGTGTCGCCCGGTGCTTCGAAGATTCATCGCTTTTGATTCACTAGGTTTCTCTTTCGACGTTATTCCAATGCAATACTCTGAAAAATTACTCCTTATAAACGAGAGCAGTTTGTTGAAGTTTTCAACAATTCAAGCAATGTTTCGTTTTTGACATAGATTATACTTTAAGCCTTTTTAATGAAGAGTGTGTTTGTTCTCCTTCTTGTGGCTGCTGTTGTTAGTACGCATCCTTTGCAAAAGAAACTTGGAATTTAAATCTTTTTGCTTTGTCGCTTAACTTTTCATATTTTATTGACTATATATGCTAAGTGAATGGAAGCTGGGTGGAACGCAGTAATAGTCTCCCGAATGCCATTCATTTTTGAAAGAAAAATCCGAATGACGAGTCACGTGGGCAGGCGGTCGTGAACTATGACAGCAGAAGTGAGTTTCACAAAGCGTGCGGCAGCCGAACTGAGCCGGCGCTTCAACGGTCTCACTGTCCGCAGCCGAGGATCGTCGTCCACCCCTACTCCGAATCCGTCCGCTTCGAACACCCCTCCTAGCGTCCAGCAGCAGCCTCCAACGAGTGTACCGTCCAGAAGCGGACCATTAACCACTTGGATGGTTGAGAATGTCAAGAGACAACAACAAAGAAGCAATCTGAATAAGAAAAGTGAACGCATCGCAGAATTATTGGCCAATCGTGCTCGGACTTTGGAGGAGTTATGGCTAGATCCTTCCTTCCTAGCCACGTTTTTCTTTTACGTATCACCGCTGGACAGGACGGTTCTCGCACAAGTGTGTCAATTATGGAGAGATGTTCTTTACCAACCTGTATTCTGGAATGGTGTGTTGCCAGTGCTTCACTGCAGAGAATTAAGAGCCACCTCTAATGATCTTTCCTCCACTTCAGAACTGCGGAAGAGGGTATGTATGTTTTCTGATATGTTTAAATGTTCTTAGTACTATAAGCAAAATGAATATTTTTATTCTTCAGGGACGTCATTTTATCAAACATTTTCACACAAATTTGAAATCTTACTAAGCGTTGAAAGAAGACTCTTAACTCAAGCTAATTACATTGTTCCACATCTAAAAACGTTTTTTTCTTAATCCCTCTGATATTTTTGGGGTGTATAATCATAGTCTTCTTCTACCGAAACCGAATATGACATTTATTTCTCTCTTATGCCTACCCTTATTAAGGGAATTAAAGAATTAAAATCACTTCTATTAAAAAAGTTCTTATAAGATCAATACACGTTTTACTCGTAGCTTTGGTAAAATCGTTGAATGGAGACTCTTTTATATAGGATGGCCCACGGATGACCAATCTTCTTCCGGCGATATATAATAGGATAGATATCATCTTCCTGGCACGAAGAAGGAAATACCGTTTTACATCTGTCCAGGTCTCTGGACAGACGCACAGTCAATAGACAGAAAAAAAATCAAAACCTCCAAAACGATTGACACCACTACTGAAGACCGGATACTTTTTTGTGGGTCATCCTGAATAAAATGGAAGTAAATAAACACAATCAACTCCGATTTATTGAGGTAATACAACTCTGGTAATGTGATTTAATAAGGAGACCCTTTTTTTTATCAAATCTGCTCAAATTAAACTAAGAGTAATAAAACTCTTAGGAAAGACTTAAAGTAATAAAATTTATTAAAGACTTGTAGTAATAAAACTTAATAAGGACTTAAGAGTATTAAAACGCTTAGGAAAGACTTAAAGTAATAAAACTTGTTAAGGACTTAAGAATAATAAAACTCTTAGGAAAGACTCAAATTCGTACAATCAAAGATGATATGTTTATTCTTCATGTTACGGCATTGTATGAAACGCTGGCATTATATAGAATGCCTGGGGTTCTTAGACAAAGTGTGAAATAGGATAATTATTGTAAACTTTAATTAGGTTGGGTTTGGCTTATGTGATTACGGCAAAGACTCAAGGGCTGTCTGCCTAAGGGAAGGGATGCCTTCATGGAGGACTTCCTAAGGGGAACTAGCTCGTATACACGTTACACATGCAGAAAATTGCGGAAAAGCCCATGCAGCCAGCCCATTTGTGGGATTCGAACCTCGTACCAAACTACCAGTGTTCAGCGACTTTACCGCTCGGCTGCTGGTGGGTCCACTTTAATTAGGCATTGTATGTAATGCAAGACTACATTCATATAATATAATAAATAACATTCTACAAAATACATATAATATGTATACAATACATGGCATTCTAATGACAAATGGAATTCTAATTCCTAAATGGCAAAGGCTCTTTAGGCAAAGTATGAGGGAAAAAAAAGTTCCTGATAAGGGTATAGTTTAAAAGACGTTCATTCCTCAAAAATACAAATATTTTGAAAAACTAATTAGACTCCTGTTAAAAACTTTCATTAAAAGTACGTAAACATAATTAATGAGATGATTTTGTTACAACATAAAAAAAATTGTATTCTGTATCTGGCTGAGATTGGAAATCAATAAAATCTACCTGAGAATGAAATTGAATTCAGAAAAAATCATAGGTTTCACAACCATGGCTTTTTAAATATCTTCTTTTTTTTTTTTTTTTCTGGCAGGGCTCACAAAGGTGAATGCACAGTTCAATACTGTAACGTTTTTGAATTTGGTTGAAAATTCTTTCAATATTCTGTGACGTCCTTCGTGTCCACTAGCCAATCGAGTTTCATGAAAACGTGAAATAACTCAGAGCCCATGACGTGAAATAACTCAGAGCCCGTGAAATACTGATGCTTCTTTAACAGGATAAATGATTTTAGTTTTCCCGAAATATCATAAGGTATTTCTATCGCCTTCTTAGCATGCTTTCATGGTGTAGTGGTCAGCATACTCGGCGCGTATTCGAGATGTCCGTGGTTCGAGCCTCGGCGAAGGCATAGCTCATTTTTCAAGTTTCCTGACCTAATGCCTCTACCGTGCCGCCGGAACTAAAAAAAGGTGGTGGACGAAAATTCTTCCCCACTAGGATTTGGCGACTGATTCCCCTAATCCCCATTTACCCTTTAAAAGGGGGAGTATATAAGGTATTTCTCTCACCTCCTTGGCATGTGGTGTAATGGTCAGCACACTCAGTGCGTATTCGAGAGGTCTGAAGTTCGAGTCCCGGCAAGGATTGCTCATTTTTCATGACTCCTGCTTCAAATAAACCTAATGTCTCTACAATTTAGAAACTAATAATCCCATGGTTCCGTTTTAGTAGCCATTTTGGCTTTTTTTTACGTCATTTGTTAACTTCTGGTAAATATTTTCGGTTATTTGAAACGAATCGGAGATGTGTTTTGTACTTTACCGCTTGGCCATTTGGCAGTATAAAGAATGCCTAAGCAAAGTGTGAAATGTTTTTCATATTTTTCCCAGACATTCTTTGCCTAGCCCGGCCAATTTTCGGCATTCTATAAAATGCCTGTGTATTCTATAGAATACCGATTGCACACTTTGCTGGTAACATATGTATTTTGAATTCTGAAACATAACCAAAAAACTCTGGAGACAGACACATCGCTGTTGACACAAGAAATCTTTAATTGGAAAAATAATTATTGCGCATTGAAGAAACAAGTGTACCCATGGCTCATTAATATTCATCAGCTGGAGACAACGTGCACGGTTAACACATAATTATGTTTAATTCAAGGCCAGTTAAAAATGCAGTAGAAAGAGAAATAATCCATATTATAAATTACAGTAAAATTCTGTCAACAATATACTCATTTTTTCAAGCCATTAAATCTAGAAAATAAGCCATTTAGTTATGTAAATTAAATCACCATTCAGAATAGAAAAAATGTACTGTAAATAACGGAAGAATAAGCATCATTGGAAATAATACAACTAAGTTATATACGACTATGACACCGGGCTGGATTGACCTTTAAGCAATATAAGCACATGCTTAGGGCAACGAGAAGGGGGGGCATCAGAGAAAGGTGAAAAAACCTGGAGTAAACATTTTTTGGGGGAGGGGAAGGCACGAAAATTTTTAAAGTACTTTAAAGCCTTTAAAGATTTTAACTCGGATTGCTATCATCTGCTATCACTGCTATTGTTACATGCAATTTCTTTTTCCCTTCCTGTATTTTCCGCTGACAGTTTTGTTTTATGCTGATAGTCATGATAGTAATTTTACTATTGCTCCGTAATCAGACTCATTCATAGCTAAATATTAAAATTTTCAGATTTACATTTATTAAAATAAATGTAATGTGCGACAGGAACCACTAAATAACTTGTAACTTTTAACTTAAGAATGCAAGAAATGTAAAAACTTAAGAATTTAAAAGAAATGTAAAAAACTCCCCAATAGGGACTATACTTGAGAACGTACAATGACAACTTATTCTCTTTTTTTTTATTACACTTTTCTATGACACCTACAGGAAAATAATATTTATGCGTAAATAACAATAAATTTCTTTCTTTCTTATTAAACCTTTCAGCTATAACACCTCAGAGGATTTCGATTTTCATAGTTGTAATATTGAAGGAAACTTAATAGAAAATATCTTTATCACAAATTGTAGATACTCATCATCAATCGGGTTCTTTTCATAGACTAATTAATATTCAACTACAAAAAAATGTCTGAAAGCTTTCAGATTTTATATTACACCCAAAGAGGAGTTTTTTTTCGTTTGCGCAGAATATAAAATTTTGAATAACGTAGTCCTCCTTTCGAATACGTGTATTTGGAAACCCAAATTTAGAATTTGTTTTATTACCTATTTCATATTTTGTAGAACTTTAACGACGTTTTAATTAACAGACTCAACCATTTCAAAGCGAGCAATGGCAACACTGTGCGGTGAAAAAAAAAAAAGCATTTTTATCACCAGCGCGCGATACTGTGTATCAAAAATTCTAAAAATATGCTCTTTTTAAATTATTTTGCGATACTGCTGTTGAATTAAATTTTATGGTTTAAGTGTGAAGAATATGATATTAAATAAATAAAGGTAACACAGAAAATGTTAAAAAAAACGCTTCATTGGGCGTAATATAAAATATGAAATCTTCCAGATTTTTTTTTCTATTAATTTAATTCTTTATTCTTTTATGTACAGTTAAAAGAAAAAGCAAGACCTCGTTCGAGAAAAAGGCATTTGGAGCATTTTAATTGTCGAAATCGTTGTTATCGTGCTTGTTTTGCTTTTGCGCTTGCATGATTAAGTAATAATCTTATAATAAAACCCATTAATAATGCTAATGATATTCAAGGTAACTGGTAATCAGATAAAATAATAACACCCTAATCAATTAGCATGCTTTATTACAGCAACCTGATAAATTAATAAAGCTGAAAGGATAGTAATAACAATAATTAAATAATTAAATTAAATAATTAAGTAAATGGAAATGATTTCAGTGAAAAGTCACAATAATGTAAAGAAAGCTTTTAATTACTGAGAAACAATTAGTTATTAGAAACTAAACTAAAAATCATGCATTTTACAATATTTTATTTTTTGCTCTTTTTATTGTCAAAAGGAGAAATATTTTTTCATATTTTCATCAATAATTGATATATTAGCAAAATTAAAGATATTTATTCAAATACAAGTTTTTATTAGAGAATCGGGGAACCAATTTTACTGACTAAATTCTATTCACATTTAGTATAATATTTCTAAGAAATTATATTAAAAGGCGTGCTGTTTTATTTAGTATCAATTTAATTCAACTACTAGCTTAAGCACCCGACACTGCCTGACCTTTACACAGAATAAAGAAGCTTCGTTTAAGGGGATGAAAGTATTTTTTCGAAATACCCTTTTTGAAATATTCGCTAAAAGCTCAAAGACAGCGCATTCAGATTATGCTCTAAAGGTCAGCCTTTTAATCTAGATGTTAAGAGTTCAAATGAGATAAAAAGAAGAGATTATTTAAAGGAAGGTTTCAGAGGGTAGAATCAGAGCGTGTTCTGCTTGCATGAGGGCCACATTGCTAATTTGATTCACTTGTGAATAGTATGGCGTTGAATTATTTTTGCCATGAGGCTTGGTCAGAGCCAACTTGAGCGTTATTCTCTAGGTGTGCAGCCGGTAAGCTAATTTACTGCTTAGTTTTATCTAATTCATTATCTTTATAAAGTGGTTGTTTAACTGTTGGTTTCTGTAAGCAGGAGATCCTGCCGTCTGTTAAAAATTTTATTTGATTCAAATGAAAAGATCATTTACCCCCTTTGGCTGTTCCTGTGGTACTTACAAGGCATAGTGATAGCTCACCAATTGTGTTTTAGAGTTTAGTCTAGTTCAAGGTTTCTTAAACTTTTTGATGTGGGGACCCCATAATATTTACGAAACTTTTGTGGAATCCCCATAAACATTGCGTAAATCCGACACACGCGTGAATGAAACTATCAATTTTTTCACTTATATTGTAATATACTATTGCAGTTTTAGGTCATTGACTTTAATTTTTTAAGTAAAATGAAAGTTTCTATTATAAAAACAAATGCATCGAAACGTTTTCCTTTTTTCTTTGTCTATATTGCCTTTATCTATTTTCAGATACATTATGTAAAAATATTTGATAATTGTAAAATTATTAAAGAAATATCAAAATTGCTAAATTTTTGGCAACCCCTACTGCAGGTCCCGCGACCCCAATTGGGGTCGCGACTCACAGTTTAAGAAACTCTGGCCTAGTTTATGCTACCTAAGAAGACAAAACTCTGTTAAGTTTAGTTTTGCTTCATGAAGATAAAAAACTACTTTCGGTATTTGTCAACATTTTCTATATTTTCCTGATTAATTTATAAAATACATCAAAAATAATCTGAATTTGAATAAATTCATACGTATTTTTGAGTTTTGGAAAGCATAGGCGCGGGAAATGATCGTCTAGAAATGGTCACTGGGGAAAAAAAGGTTGAGAAGCACTGCTCCACACTGCTCTAAAGAAATTAGATTAAGGGGATTAAATTAAAGAAAGGATTTTAAGGTATTTTCTCCGTCCTTTCTGCATGACTTTGTGTTGTAACGGTAGCACACTCAGTGCGCATTCGAGAAGTGCAGGTTCGAGTCCAGGAGAAGGCATTGCTCATTTTTCATGATTTCTGCTTCAAAAATCCTAATGACTCTGTAGTGGCGCCCGAACTAAAAAGTGGTAGATGATGATTTTTCTTCACCAGATTTGGCGATTGGGTCCCCTAATTCCCAGACGCCCTTTAAGAGAGAGAGAATATAAGAAAATTTCTCTCTGCTTTCTCCATGCCTTCGTGGTGTAACGGTAAGACACACGGAGTATTCTAGACGTCCAAGTTCGAGTTCCGGCGAAGCATTGCACATTTTTCCTATCTCCTGTATCGAATTAATCCTAATGACTCTGCAAAATAACTAACACCGCACAATCTGACTCTTTTAGTCATTACTGACACTTGCTTCGTTATCAGTTATGTCTTTTGTCGGCAAATCGCCATTCCACTTCTTCGATTCCTTCACTGTTTTCGCAATATTCGTGAAAAACTGATAGACAGCTCGCTGAAATTCTGCTTTAAAGGTTCTACACTCTTTCGTAAATTACTACTTTCTTCTCAAGAGTAAACGAACAGGGCGCCATCTAACGGTTTGAGTAAAAATTTATAGCGGGAACGCAACAACGGTAACGTGAAATTTTGATCGTTGGCAGGATTTCAAAATTGAAAATGTTTAGAAATATTAATGTTTATTTTTTGTAGGAAAACAATTATACATTCTTTGTTTAGCATGCATGATTTCCACAAACAACGGGAACACAACAAAAGCAACGTGAACATAAGGCAGATGACTTATAAGGCATTTCTCCCGCCTTCTTGGCCTGCCTTCGTGATGTGGTGGTCTGCCCGCTGGGCGCGTATTCCAGAGGTCTGCGGTTCGATTCCCGGCGAAGACGTTCCTCATTTTTCATCTTTCTTGCTTCCAAAAATACCTAATGTCTCTACAGTGGCGCCCGAATTGAAAGGATGGTGGATGATGATTCTCCACACCCAGGATTTGGCGATTGGGTCTCCTAAAACCACAGTCGCCCTTTAAAAGGGGGAGTATATAAGGTAATTCTCCCGCGTTCTTGGCATGCCTTCTTGGTGTGGTGGTCTGTACGCTGGGCGCGTATTCCAGATGACGGCGGTTCGATTCCTGGCGAAGGCGTTGCTCATTTTTCATCTCTCTTGCTTCGAAATAACGTAATGTCTCTACAATATAAGCACAACGTTTTAACATATATGCACTGAGTGTGGAATCCGTGGTAACCTTATGTAACGAAATCTTATGTAGACGGTAACCTTCCTCTTGTTTTGAAGGCCCAGCGTGAAAAGTTTAAACAGGATTGGAATAAATCCTTCGATTTGTATAAAAGATAAACACATGGACACTCTTCTTTATTTATATAGATTTGACGAATTTAATAAATCATTACTTTTTAGGATGAGTAAACAAAATGATTTGTCTCCGAGGAACGGAATGGATTATTTAATTATCACAAAGCACATCGGGATTTTTTGCGTAAAGAAGGATATGCCATCGCTTAAGATTCTTTTAGAGAAACTGCTTCGTATTCATGTTGCATACGGAAAACAAACAAAAGTATCCATGCAGACAGTCTGTTATTTAAGATTTGGATCTTGATCGAACGACAAGTGTTCAGCGTTCCTATCCTCTCGGCCTATCTACGAGGAAAGCTAACTAAAATACTGCCTGCTGCAAGTTAAAATGCTTCATGTTATAAGACTACCAATATATGTTAAAACTGTCATACAATTTTGTACGGTGCATTAATAAAAAATTGATTTTAGGATACACAGGTTGCTTACACATTTTTAGAACGACTTCGATAAAAAAATTTTTAAAAAAGCTAATATTCTGGAATAAAAATTTCTGGTAAAAGTTTGCTATTTGAAATGAGAAATATTGTCTGCTACTTTTAAACTGATTCTTCTTTCGAAATGTTGCAGTTGTAGATTGAAGGATACCTTTTTGAGGTTTGCGAAGAGAAATATTCTTATTTCATAATTCAGAAAGTTGTAAAATGCATGGTATAGAGTCTCGTATTCTTTCGTAAGATAAACTGACGAGCTGTAGAAAGACTGTAGAAGAATTATCCCCGGGTCTTTAACAGTAGGCAGACAGAGCCAGAAGAAGGGTGTAAATAGCTGTTTTATTCGATTACAAAGAATTGGTAGTCGACCCCACTTGTGTTTACATAAGCCAAAACTTCTATTTTATATTTTATATTGCATTTTAGTTTAATATTAAGAGAGCTGCCTAAGCGTCAAACTACTTTGTCGAATTCCATTAGTCTCATTCCGTGACGTTTACATTTACACTGTTGCCATCTTCGCTCTTATAATCCTGTGATGCCAGGTTTATTTTGGTTTCTTCTATCTACGAATACTCATTTTATAAGCGTTCTACAATCCCCCCCCCACCTACAGTCTGCTTCCAGCACTAATTATTATGTATGTTACCACCGCCCCCCAAAAAAGTATGAAATCCGGTAGTCTAGACAATACCTAAGTCTTTTATAGAATACTGAAAACTGGACGGCAGTGTATGAAACGATTAAACATTTCATACATCGCCTAAGTATTCTATGGAATGCTGAATGAAAAACTGGCAGAGTATGAAATACATCTCCATGTTATAGAAAGTGTTTAGAAAATGCATATAATAATTAGTGCAATATATTAACAGTTGTAATGAGTGTGGCAGAGGTTAGTTTCTACCGACTTGAAACTTCTGAAAGAATTTTACAATGACGATAAACGAGATCACAGCTCCTTTTATGTTTTATGAACTTACTTAGAATTGAAGGTATTGCTGATTACGAAATTTCTCTCCGGTCAGTTGCAATTGCTCACTGCGATGGAAGCTGCCAAGAATTCGCCAAGTGTGTGTAAAGCTGACAAGAATTCGCCAAGTGTCTGTAAAGCTGCCAAGAATTCGCCAAGTATGTGTAAAGCTGCCAAGAATTCGCCAAGTATGTGTAAAGCTGCCAAGAATTCGCCAAGTGTGTGTAAAACAAAGTGCCAAAATATGAAATGTGTTTGTGTGAAAAAAGTAATGCAGTGATTTCAAAATGTCATTCAAGCCTATCAAGTTGCAACAAATAGGTTAATTTTAATTTCTTGTTTTTTATATGAAATTTTTTTTTCCTCAATAAGAAAGGTATAAATTTTGTATCGTAGAATTTTCATTTTTCTTTATGAATTTTGAATAAAAATTTTAATGGCGCTCTTTCATTTAAAAAAAAAAAAAAAAAAAAAAAAAAAAAACCATTTGTACTTTTGGGGAATGAACGTCTTTAAAGTCTTATCATGAACTTTCCTTCACACTTTGCCTAAATAACATTTATCATTCTACTAATCTAAGTATCTAAGTATTATATTTGATGATCTAAGTATTATATTTGAGATCTAAGTATTATATTTGATGCCCAGGTAAAGTATAATATTTATCTTTCTACAGAATGCCTACGTATTATATACAATGCCTAGGTAAAGTATACAATAATTCTCATCTTTTATACATTGCCTAAAAACGCCAGGCATTGTATAAAATCCTTAGGTATTCTATAGAATGCCTGCGTTTCATATTTTGCCCGTAACGTAATATTACTACTTAATATGCAATAATTTACTACTTTCTTACTTACTTACTTAAACTGAATTGATAAAGGCTGATATAAATTTTTCCAGGTGTATTCCAGTTTGGAGAAGCGAGGTTTCTCGTCTCTGTGTCTGTTTGGCGCCGGAGACGATGACGTTTATGATGTGGTCAGCAACTTCCCCAGCACATATGTGCGACAGATTCGTTGGCTGGTGTTACGATGTTGCAATGTCACTGATAAAGGTCACGAGGTTCTGCTCGAATTCTTCCATGGCGTTACACATCTTGAAATGTCGGGTTGCAACGAGGTGACAGACGCCGGTCTTTGGGCCAGCCTCCACCCACGTATCGTCCATCTGACGTTATCTGATTGCATAAATGTGGCGGACGAGTCTGTTGCAGCCATAGGTAGGAGTAAATAAATCATCAATTTAAGAAAATTGAGCTTTATCATGTAACTTGAACGCGAAGATTTATTGTATTCTGCATTATATAAAAGTCGTTAAGGATCTCTTGCTAACATTAGCATTGAAACACTAAAGACACCTAAGTAATGATTTATAGGTCACTCTGTAATAAAAATGATAACTTGTAAATTCCTAGGCCTGTTTGCACAAAATGATAATATTCTTAAGAAGCCATTTCTGTTACAATATTATGCTAGATGTCTTATTAAATTCATCCTAGATCTATGAGCAAGATGATTTGTTTGAAAACGTCAAAAAATTTCAATAGGACTTAAATCCGATAACACTAGAAAACATTTTGCGTATTAGTATTAATAAAAGTGTTCTCATGCCCTTCTGAGCGTTATCAAAAGAAAGTTCCGGTAATAAATTAGATGATTCTGGTAACACACAACTTTTAAATTTCTATTTATACGTATTAACGCACATAATAGGTTTATTGAGAAATTTTGTTATCTACACAGAGTTAGTTGTCCCTTAATGAAGTTGATGTCTCTCAGCCTGCCCAGCCAATCCACATTTATTAGCTAGTACATTGGGATTGCCATTTCCTGTACTGAGCTCTGGTACTTCCATCAGTAGTATAGTAACAGTAAACGCTTAGTAATCTTCCGATCTATCCATGATCTATCTATCTTTCATTGACATAATTAAAATTTTTAACGTCATTATCTTTCTGTCTTCGCAGACTATGTAAGCTTATTAGACAAGCAGCTAATGATCTGTTTTTACACCTTACTTCTGGTTTGACTGCATTCCATTTTGTTGGTTGGGATCAATAGATTTATTAACCACATTCTAACGATTATTTTGTTCATACATTTCGCAAATTGTCGCAAGCTATTAGCAAGTATTTATATCATTGAAGGCATTATTTATCTTCTTATTAGAACCTTTCATAGACAAATAATTTTAAAGTGTTCACCGATTTGAAAATATGAGTTTTCTTTATAGTAGAAGACTATGAAATTAAAAGTTCAACAAATCTTCTTAACTCCAACAAAGCTTCAATATAGTATTCCTTCACCCAATACAGCGTAAAATATATGAACATGAAATTTTTCTTTCATTAACTCATAGAATAATTAACATACGACATCAGAATATCTTATTTCGACTGAACAGAGAATAAATCCTCCAAAAATCAGAGTCAGCATTTTCAAAGTCCTCTGAAAATGCTCTGAAATTTTTATTTGAAATCAACACCAAAGTGTGAAATTTGTTAAGATTTTCCAGTGGCTCTTTAGAATACACAATAAATTTACGCATGGAATTAGTGTTAAAAATAAGATAAGAAATTATTAAAATCAATGCAACTTTCGAATCATATTATATTTAAGATAAAAGTGTAAGATCTGATCTTCTTAAGATCGTATCACACATTCAAAACATTTCGGAAGACAACTCTTTAAAATAATTCTGCTTTGCCACATGATATGAACCAACCAATCACAGCGGAGGATTTTGGAGTTACCATGTCAATGGGAAACCAGTTCTCCATTACAGATGGCGCCTGATGCCGGGGGATTAGATGCTAACAGCTGATTTGTTTTTGGAAACGAACAACTTACAATGTTTTGCGAAAGTAAAGGAAAAAAGCGGGTAAAGCGGGTAGAAAACGTTTTTTGACAACGTGGCCTTAAATCAGGCAGAAAACGCTGTGATTTTACCCTCTAAAACCTTCCCTTAAGTACTTCCTTCTTTCTACCTGTGAATTTGAATATCGTGTGAGCTGGAAATTTGCATTCTGTAGAGAAATGAAACGAGGGTTGATAATAAAAGGAATTAACATCCTTACAAAAGTATATATATTATTAAAATCAACGCAACTTTCGAATACTTTCATATTTAAGATAAGAGTTGCAGATAAGAGTATATTTAAGATAAGAGTCATTAGTTTTCTTTAAAGCAAGAGAGGTGAGAAGTGTGCAATGCTCTCTCCAGGACTCGAACCTGGACCTATCGAATAGGCGTCGAGTGTGCTGATCGTTACACCACGAAGGCATGCTGGAAGGACGGAGAAAATAATAAAAGGGCGAATGGTCACTCAATCACCAAATCGTGGTGGTGACGAATCATTGTCCACCAACTTTTCGTTCGGGCTCCACTGTAGAATTATTAGGGTTATTCTTCAAACAGGAGACGTGAAACAGGAGTGCCCTTGCTGGGAATCGAACTCTGGACTTCTGTGCTTCCAATTACACCACGGAGGCATGCAGAAAGGGATGAGAAAATAAATTATAGAGTATTAAAGCTTATTAAAATCAATGCAACTTTCGAATCCTTTCGTATTTAAGTAAGAGTATTATGTTTGATAAAAACTTAATGCAGCTTTCGAATCCCTTTCATGCTTTGATTTGCATTTCTTTTATAGCGCAGCTGCTTCCGGGTTTACGAGAGCTCAATTTGCAAGCCTACCACGTCACTGATGCAGCTTTGGCTTTTTTCGGACCTCAGCAGGGAGGCACTCTGCAAGCCCTCAGGCTTCGCTCGTGCTGGGAGCTCACCAACCACGGATTACTGAATTTAGTGCACGTGCTTCCCAATCTCACAGTGCTTTCGCTCTCGGGATGCTCAAAGATTACGGATGACGGTGTGGAACTCCTTGCCGAAAATCTGAGGCAGTTGAGGATCTTGGATTTGTCTTGGTGCCCCAGAATAACAGACGCTGCCTTGGAATACATTGCGTGTGATCTCAGCTTGTTAGAGGAACTCACGCTCGACAGGTGAGAGAATTAATTCATGTACCTTGTCAGCAATTTAATATTTGCAAATTTTGATATGGTTTATGTGATATATGGTTTCATACCTAAATATATAAGAAGCCACATGTCGTGAAAGTGTTTTAGAAATTCATTGAGTCTCACATTTTGGGAAGCATAAAATTGTTATGTAATACTGTTTCTTAATTTTGATTATCAGTCATTTAATTCTATTACATAAATACATTACAATACATATATTACAATCAATCAGATCTGTATTTTACATATAATCTGTATTTTAATTCTAATACATGAAGTTTCAATTCATTCTAATACATACGGTTTCATTACAAATGTCGAAATTACCACCTGAGTCAGAAAATATGGATTCATAACTCTATAGGTACGAGGGGTAAAACTTAAACAGAAAAAATGCAAAAATAATTAAGTGTACACACCAAACTAGTGTAACAAAACAAAAAAACTTTAGAATTTAAAAGTTAAATAACGTTAAAAGGGTGAAACCAAAACCATCTTCAACAAGACGCAATACAATCAATAGAACAAGACGCAATTAAAAATAAATTTAACGTTTTCAAGCAAAAATTGATTTCAAGCAAAAATTATTTAGCAATCATCAGCCATCTTGAAAAACGCTGTTGTTACGTATTTTGCCCATAGTAAAGTACTCGAAACTTAAACAAATAAATATTGTTATAAATAATGGATTAATTTTTTGTTGGAAACGTTGTTTTTTTAAGATGGCAGGCGAATGTAAATAAATACATTTACTAGGAGTATAAAATACCAAAGTAAGGTTAAATTATTAGCAAATGTTAGTTCTGAGAATTTTTTATTTTGAAGGCATAAACATATTAATACGATTTAAAATATTGTAAAAAGCCAATAAATAAAGAAAATAAATTTGTAAAAAAGACATTAATTTAAGAATTTACTAAGCTTTCATTGTTCAACATCCTGATTCTCCGGTTCATACCCCGTAACCCCAAGTGATCTCATCTCACGTAAACTACGGTACAAAAATCTAATTTTCTCAGTTATTATCTACATTAATTTTAAGTTAAATCTTAATTTGGAATACAAGTTTAAATGCAAGAATTATTTCAATTCGCACGAATAGCTTACTCGGAAATTATGTAAAACCGCAGTGCTTTACTTCGCTAGTGCATTCTCATTAGAATGGATGAATTTAACCCTTGATTTTGCCTTTTCTATATTTTCGGCTTCGGGTAAGGGGTGTGATTGCATTCTAATTGACTTAATTACGGCTAATGGTCTTAGGGCATAAAATTGAACTATCTGGTGAAAATTCTATGTAATTGGATGCCAGTATTGAAAGAAACAATCAATGTGATAAGAAATGGCTGCGACTTGTTTCGAAAAAGAGGCGTAAAAGGTTACCATGGAGGATATTCCGCTTGGCATCAGTTGCACCATTTATTGGCGACTTTATCGCCTGCGCCGGCAAAACGGAAAAGTACCTATAAATCTAATGTATATCCCAAGTTGCGCTTTCAAGATATGAAAAACACAAGTTAAATTTCGTCAATCAGGTCAGTAGAACGGAAGATATATATAACTGTCCCACTTTTTTTTTTCAGAGCGTATATTTTATTTACTGTGGTATACGACAGATTTGAGTCCAGTCTGCTAAAGCTTTATTCAGTAATGGAAAATTCTAATCATGGATTAGATCGAAACTCAGCAAATACAGCAGAAAATCGCATTAACATAGCTGATCAACCATCTCGAATTTATAGCCCATGCTTCCGGGTGAGTATTCAGAAAACTATATAAGCAAACGTATTATGGTAATCAAACAATATTCTACATATAGCTACGCAGGTGACTATTAAGCATCCCCCATTGCTAAGTAGCTCAAAATAGGAATCCTAAAAATTTGTACAGAGAAAATTATTTGAGTTCTGCATGCATTCAGGTCATCGACGGTGTCAACATCCTAAGCTATCAGCCATCTTCCCCAAGGGAAATCCGAGTAAATGCACAGGGAAAAATACCGCTCGGGTCAGGTTAGAACTTTGCCTATACTCAGCTACATTATGGTTCAATGACATCCTATGCGCTGTATGAGAAAATATTTTCGGTAAACTTGATGGCGCACAATCAAAATAAAATACCTTATTTATTTATTTCACATTGTTCTTACAATTGAAAATTATTTTATGTCTACTGTTGATGTCGTTTTGCAGTAAATTTGTAATATTTGCTTATTTTAAACTGAGGGTAATTTTTTACCTCATTTGAGGATTTTTGTATCATTATCTCATATAGCACGCTGATGTAGTTCTTTTATTCGCTGTTATACTGCTAATAGCTGAATGACAGCACAAAAGAACTGCTTGAATAATAGCAAGGCATTGTCGCCATTGTTGCAGCGTATCTTCGTGGTATAATTGAAAGCACGTCCGGTTGGAAATCGAAAAGTTCAGATTTCGCAACCCTGTAAGGACATGCTTAATTTTTCATGTTTCCTCTTCCAAAAATTAGTAAACGCTCTGCAGTGGTGTCAAAACTAAAATGTGTTAGAACATAATAAATCACCATCTGCATTTGGCGACTGGATCTCATATTCCTCAGTCGCTTTTTAAGTAGAGGAGAATGCAAGGAATATTCTCCTTCTTTACCGGGTGCCTTCGTGGAGTAATTGAAAACACATCCGACTAGCAGTAGGGAAATTAGAATCTCGGAGAGCAGAACTAATTTTTTCACATTTTCTCAACAAACACTATAAATATCCCTACATATTTTGATAAGGTATATCGCTGTCACATAAAAAAACATGCTTTGTTAGTGCAAAGGGATTTGAGTTCCGAATGACTATTATTTTCGTTTTGTCATTTTGTGTCGGACTTCTATAAATGTCGGTTCACTTTTCAAACTGTTGCCACAAAATGTTAGAATTCTGCATTATATTTGAAGAAATTAAATAATGAAAAATCTGCATAAATGTATGTATATTTCTCGCATTGTGATCAAACAACGGTATCTAGAGCCTCCAATTTTGAATGACGTAATCCTACTGCGAATATGGGCATGTGGAAGACCAAATTTGAAATGATCGATTTCCTATTTTGTAAAACTTTAACTAATTTTTGATTAACAAACTCAAGGATTTCGAAGCGAGCAATGGCAACGTTGTGCAGAAAAAACCCTTTTATCTCCAGGGCGTCAGTTTCTGTATGGGAAATTCTAAAGATATGCTCATTTTAAAATTATTTTGCGATATTGCTGTTGAACTGGATCTTATGGTTAAAGTTAACACAAAAAATGTTAAAAAACGCCCCTTTGGACGTAATTTAAAATCTGAAACGTTCTGGATTTTCTTTTTTTAATTTAATGCAGTTTTGGTGGAAAATTGTTATCTTCGTTAGTTTTAGAGTTACGATGTACTTATTTATTTTAATAGCTCTGCTTAATTCCTTTGTAAGGCTGTATGTTTATTATTTGAAGCTAACGAGTTATTATGACTTCGAACTGTACTGTAACTTCTCCTTTCCTTTCCCTCACCAGAATGTACTTTGAGATAGAGAGCGTTTAAGTTGAGGTTTTTGGATTGTATGATGGAGCGTGTTCCTGCCTCTCGTGTGCACGTTGCGTAGTTCCTTGTATCTGGGATAAGTTTGTAACTATTCGGTTTTGCGTTATTGCTGCTGACTTGGAAATTGTTGCGCCGGTTAGAGAGTTTAAGTTTTGAGCCAGCTTAGATTTAAATTTGATTGTGTAATCTTTGAGTACTAGTCTGTGTTTTAAATTTGAATTTGACCGTTACTTTAGTTACATCGTCACAAGTTTTGGTTGACCTTTTTAGCACAAGAAGTGCATTTATTTTCAAGTGCAAGTTTGAAAAATAATAAATAAAAAAGATTAAATAAAAAAGATTATTTTAAAACCTTTGCAAAACTCTGTAGTTAATTTCCGACATAGTGATAGTTCGTTTAACGTCTGTTAGGGTTTAGAACTATTTTTCTGTTCAAAACGCAAGTCACACTCTATAAGGTTCATTTTAGTTAACGTGTATTTCTTATGTCAAATGTGTAGTAAACTATCAGACGGATTCTCACCATATCTTTAACATAGAGTTCAATAGCACAAAGGGATAGTAGCAGTCTTAATACTAATATTTATTTGTGCCGCGGCTTGAAGTTACAAAAGTAAAGTGATAAGAAACTTAAATGGATTGGCTCCTTGCGGCTTGATCATGTAATATTGCAATTATTTGCAAAAGAAATTTATAATTAGAGACGTAGATCCAGATTCGTATGTTAATGCGCCTTATAACTTATCAAATAAACGAAGTCAAGAGCCGAAACTTGCCAATACAAACGCACAACACTATGGTAAGTAAAATCTGAGAGTTGCAGCGACTGTTAGCAGAAATAGTCAACGGCCTCTTTCTTTCTAAACTCAGATTTTCGCTCATTATTTTAACTTGCATTATGTGTAGTTCTGGTGGAGGTGGCGAAAAACAGAAATATAGGAAAGATTTAACATAAAACAATATACTAATTAAAAACAAAAACTTAAAATATCAAGTAATACTACAGAGTCATGAAATTTATTTCGGAGCAAGAAACAGAAACAACCAACAGTGCCCTCGCCGGAATTCGAATTACGGACCTCGAGGCTGCTAGCCAGAAGTGGTTTTAGTTACACCACGAAAGCTCACTATAAACAGGGGGAGATATCTTATATTCACCTTCCCTCCACACACTTAAAAGGCGACTGGAAAGGCGAAGACATAATCGCGAAATCCTGAAACTGGTTTCAATACCTTATTGTGATGAATCGGAACAGAGCCTTTAAATTGTAATTTTTAATGGTTCATTTATACGTTTAAAATGTCTATAATGCAAGTAAGGAGGTTAATTTAATCTATATATACGCGTTTGATAAAATCAAAAAATTATTTTGAGCTTCAAAATAATTTTTTGAAAGAAAAAAAAAGCAATGTGAGAGACTTATTTCAGAAAATAAGTTTC